CAGCTACAGTCTTCACCACTCTTAAAGAAACCACAGCAGAAAATTCTTGATTGATTGGGAAGAAAGAATAGGATAAAACTAAAAAATTTTAGAAGACCAGCTTTACATGTCTAATACAGGCTTATGGAACCTCTGAGTCCTACGACACTTACTCACCCTTCAAGCTTGGAACTGAAATAAGCCCATGACTCAACAACATCAGTTTAAACATTGGGTAGACATATGGGTTGATCTTCTTCATTACCCTTGGTTCTTGGTAATATGCTAGTTTCTGAAATTTTTCAGTGTCCATCAATTCTTTTCGGTACAGTGACTGTGTTTTCACCATCTTTAGATGCCTTCTGTGTAATTCTAGATTTTGAATTCTTCAGTATTGCAATATGAGACTTCAATTTGCTCTTCATTTCTTTCACGCCAAGCATGTTCTTTCTCTTTTGTGTTCTAATTACAGCTCTTGGCACTGGCTTTGTCTTCTTGAGCTTCCCTTTCAAATCTTCTATTCAATGCTTGCTTCAGTATTCTTCTCTTTTTTGACCACTCCACAGTCTAGTGAAAGTTTCTGTATCTTCTGACATTCTGTACCATCTGGCATTTTCTTTTTCTTCTGTCTTTGTAATGCTTTCTTCTCAGATGCAAGTAAAATCTCACTGAAGATTATGAAAAAATGAGTGCAACAGCATAGTAACAGAAAACTTCCAGAAATTCAAGATGGATCCAGATAAAGCTGTGGCATGTGGTATATAATTTTATTCCCAGGGGAAAGTATATGATAGAATGGGGAGTAAGAAATGTGGAATAAACCTGAAAACCAAAATTGACCAGATTTACTGGTGCAATAGAGACTGGTGGGACATCTGACACTATGACCTTTCATCTCCCTATAAACCTGGAACAAAGCTTTGTTCGACTTCCATCTACACAATAGACAGATACAATAGCTCCTTGCATAACCTATCATATAAGATCAAAAAAGTAGAATTTTCCCAAGGATAAAGCTCAGAATTTAGGAAGAGGTAAATAGAAGCTGGCCCTCCAGTGTGTTTTCAGAGAAAGTAAATTACATGGGAGGAGATTGACCATCCTTCTAAGGATTGTTGTTGCTATTAGGTGCCATTGAATTGAGTATGGCTCATAACAACCCTATGAGCAATAGATCTAAACACTGCCCTAGCCTGTGCAATCCTCACAATCTCTGGCACCGCTGAGCCCACTGCTACAACGACTATGTCAACCCACCTGGTTGAGGGTCTTCCCCTCCAGTGCTGTCCTTCCACCTTTCCAAGGTATAGCCTATCCTAGCAACAAACCCGAAACTTTATTATCTTCACCTCCAATGAGTCAATGGATCTAAAGATTAAAGAAATAAATATTACAAATAGGAAATGCCTGGCTACCCCTGCAGTCTACTGAGAAGGAGATCACATTAGAAGGCCCCTGATAGACTGAAAGGAAATGTACAACAGTGTTGTTGTTGTTGTTGTTGTTGTTGTTGTTCTTATGTGTTGTCAAGTCGATTGCGACTCATAGCGACCTTGTTATGTACAAGAGCTCTAAAGGCTTTTCTATCCTGTGTCAACCTTGCCATCTCTGACACATTCATTCCCACCACCCCTAATCATAGAATCAATCCATCTCATCGAAGGTCTTCCTCTCCTGCGCCATCCCTCCACTCTCCCAAGCACTTGCAACATGCCCAAAGTATGTCAGATGAAGCTTCAGAATCCTTGATTCCAAAGAGCATTCCGGCTTCACCCTCTCCAGGACAAACCTGTTTGTTCTCCTTGCAGTCCATGGTATATTCAACACTCTTCTCCAGCACCACCAGCTCAAAGGTATTAATTCTCTTTCTATCATCCCTAGTCACTGTTCAACTCTCCAGTGCATAGCACATAATTGCGAAGACTATAGCCTGGATCATGCGCACCTTAATCTCCAGCCTGATGCCGTTGCTCTTCAGTACTCTTGAGAGGTCCCTGACTTTCCCAGTGAAATCTGTCTCTTGATTTCCTGGTTGCTCGTACCAAGAGTGTTGACTGTGGAGTCAAGTAACCTAAAACTGTTAACGATCTCAATCTCTTCACCATCCATCCTGATGCTGCCAATTGGTCCAGTGCTGAGAATCTTTGTCTTCTTGACATTGAGCCTCAATCCATACCGAAGGCTGCAGTCCTTGACCCTCTGCAGCAAGCACTTCAGGTCCTCCTCAGTTTCAGCAAGCAGGGTTGTGTCATCTGAATAATGCAGATTGTTGATAGATCTTCCACCAATCCTGACATCACACCTCTCCTCATAGAGCCCAGCCTCCAGGATAATCTGTTCTGCATACAGATTGAAAATATATGGAGATAGGACACATCCCTGGTCTACACCCTTCCCAATTTTGAACCATGCAGTGTTTCCTTGCTCTGTTCTACGACTGCCTCTTGGTCCAAGTATAGGATTTGCATTAGCACAATCAGGTGTTATGGGATTTCCATTCTTCTCAGAGTCAGCCACAGTTTGTTATGATCCACACAGTCAAACACCTTTGCATAATCAATGAAACACAGATACACATTCTTCTGGTATTCTCTGCTTTCAGCTAAGATCCATGTAACATCAGCTACAATATCTCTGTACCACGACCCCTTCTAAACCCAGCCTGGACTTCTGGCAGTTCTCTGCTGATGTACTGTTCCAGTCAATTTTGGATAATCTTCAGTAGACTCTTGCTTGCATGTGAAATCAATGGTATTGTTCTATAGTTTTCACACTCTGTTGGGTCACCCTTCTTTGGAATGGGAAAATATAAAAATTGGGGAATGGAAAACAAATGTGCTCTGTAAACTTTCACATTGCAGTAAAATATTCCGAAAAATCATACAGATTGCAAAACACAGACCCCGCTCTGTGGTTCTTCAACATCTATGGTTAAAAACTGAAGAGCTAAGACTGTTTTGTTGTTTGGGGCCAGGAATAAGATATCTGTTGTGCAAACTCTGGAAATAACATTAAAAATCTCTGTATTTGTGGCTTCCACTGTTTCTGGGGGGGAAATAATTAGCAATACCATCTCAGAACAGGGTCTCATAACAAAAGTTAATAGAGTACTACTGTGCCTCTAGAAGAAAAAAGACTGATAACCCAATTACAAAATGGGCAAAGGACGTGGAAATACTTTTCATAGAGGAAGACATTCAGAAGGCCAACAGACACATGAAGAAATACTCAAAATTACTGGCAGTGAGAGAGATTTAATCAAAACCACAATGAGATACCATCTCACCCAAGTAGAGTGGCAACATTTAACAGCACAGCAAGTAATAAATGTTTGAGAAGATGTGGAGAGATATGAACTCTCAGACACTGTTAGAGGAATTGTAAAATGGTACAAGCACTCTGAAAGGAAGTTTGGCATTTCCTCAAAAAGTTAAACACAAAAATTCTGTATGAACCAGCTGTTCCACTACTAGGCATATAACTCACGGAAATTAGAATTGAGATACAAACAGAGATGTTCACATAAATGTTTATAGCAGCATTATTCACCATCATAAAAATATGGGAACAGCCCCGCTGTCCAACCACAACCGAATGGATTAAGAAATTGTTGTACATTCATACAATGAAATAATTCAGCACTCAGGACCAACTCTTTCAAAAAAATACTACATTATTTGAGAGAGACTGAAGAACATTATGCTGAGTGAACTAACTCAGTCTCATAAGCCAAATGCTACATAAGAACATTATTGTAAAAATAGAAGTAAAACACGTGTGGGGTCCAAGGGGTGAAAGGGTGGAAGCAGAGGGGTGAGGATGGGTAAGGGTATGATCACAGAGTTGTACAATTGAGTAGTTGGAGGGAGGAGGTAAAGAAAATGGGAAAAATCCAGTAGGGACCTGAAAGGACAGCATAATACTGAGCATAGTCCAATGGTGATTAATTTTATAAAACATATGCATGGGAATGATTGTATGAAACACAATGTGAATGAACAGTGTGAAACACAATGTATATGAACTTTATAAGCAAACCTATATAAAATAAAAAATTAAAAATCATTTCAGGGGAAAAAAACTTTTTCCATTTAAAGAAATCTCTATATTTCAATATTTTTATATAATTGTGTTCTGTGTCCATCGGTACTGATGTAAAATTAATTAAAAAAAAATGGGCTCTCTAACAACCATACTACATCTAAAAGGACCCTTCCTGAATTATCATTAGCAAAACATTGTTAAATGTTGACCTTTTCTGATATGTCAAGTTTCATAGTAATAAATTTTGTTTTCAAAACTAGAAGTTTACTGGTTTCTTAAAACTCCCTTGATTATTCCCCTAATTCATCGAATTCAGAAATAAATATTGTTTTGTACCATCAAGTCAAAACCTACTCACACTCAACCCTCCAGCGGATTTTCAAAGGCAGTAAAAGACATGGCAGGAGATTGGCCATCTTTCTCCTGTGTAGTTTTGGGTTGGCAGCACAGCTCCTTACCACCAGGTCACCAGAACTCCCCCAGAAACAAAAACACTTTTTATATTGTCCTTTCAGTTATACTTGTTTTCTGTTTAAGTCCTCATAGCATGTCAAGAAAGTTTTGAACAGGTAAGTGACATATCCAAATGATTGACACGCGTGCTGCTAACTCAAAGGCTGTGTGTCTCAGGTCATTGAAATCCACCTTTTCCTCTTTAGGAACAAGATGGGCAGTCTCTTCATACTGTCTTTCACAGTCTCAGAAACCCAGTCGAGGTTTTTATGAGTCAGAACTGACTCATGGCAGTGAGCTTGAGGTTTGCATTTAGTGACGTTCACACACCCTGCCAACGTGAAGACGCCACTTCTACCTGGCTTCTCATCCTCAGAATAGATGATATAGAATCGTGCTCATATATTAGTGCTCATGTGAATATTAGAGAACAGTGGCTGGTGGCTTTCCTATGCCTGCCATCGAAAGTAGTAAACAAAAAAAGATCTTACTGTTTGGTGTGTTGTTTTTTTCCCCTTCTATAGAATCCCAACCCAGGATTATTCCCTGTGATGCATCCTTTGTCCTACCCAGAAACCATAATTGATTATCATCTTTGCCCTCACCCCAAGTACAAGTTCACCAAAGAGCTCCATGATGGTTCCAGCATTCCTCTCACCCAAAAGCAGTTTCTCCATCACACGGTAATGTCAAAGAAGGTCAGGGCATGAGGGTGGAGGGGTCACAACTGAAATTAAAAAAAAAAAACAAAACCTTGCTTCAACAGCTGAAAAACAAGAATGGTAAAACCACAGTTTTTGCATGTACTCAGAGCACTGGCCTTAGAGGCTGGAGGTAAAAAGGGGGGAATCCAGCCCCTCTGGCCTGTCTCACCTGTCTTTCACTAGGTGTTGTCTTTTTGGCAGTAGCTGCTCTTCCACTTAAAGGCTACTCTTAAGGCTTATTTTATTCATATTTTGACCATATCAGAACTGTTATATTGTCCAAGAGTCTGACCTGTAACCCCCACTAAGAAGAGAAACATCAAGATGGATGTGATAGTGATGTGACAAGTGCGTAGTAGGGGTCACAGCTGCAAAGAAGTCCTCCTCCCCTATGAATACCCCGCTGTCTCAGGACATCCTTTCAGGATTGCCCTCAGGTCCCTCAAACTAAAAAATGTCCACACTCTGCCAAGGTCTTCTGACTTGAACTGTCTGTTCTTCCTGTATTGTATCAGTTTGTGCAATTACCTCTATCATCCTTTATCCCTCTTTCACTTTCATTCCCCATATCTGACCATCATTAGATCTCACTAGGCTAACTCTTACATAGTAGTTGTATCAATCTCACTAGTACCCCACGCCATAGCTATGCTGCTACAGTTGGTTATCTGTAGAAATTTTACTCAGAAATAAATCTGATATACCATAACAAATATATATATATTTGTTTTTTGCTTCAAAACCCATGATGGGTTCTTACTGCCCATAGGTGAGGTTCCAAGCTCATTAGATGGGACCTTCAGTATCTGCCTGCCTTTCTCCTTGGTCCCCATTGTGCCCTTAACTCCACCAAGCTAGAGTCTCCTGGTAGTGCCCTCCTGTACAGAGCCACACATTTCTAATTCTTCTGGTCAAGAGTGTCATCTGCTGAGCTACTCCATGAATAGTGCGTTATTCATACATAATCAAAATAATCATTAACAGATCCATGTAAGATGGCAATTACTAAAGCAGCAGCCACCCCTACTCCTAATCTTCTGCCTAAGAAGAGAAAGAACTTATAATGAAGGTATACAAGGAAAGGCTAGAAAAGACTAGGACTTTCCACAGACATATCTACTTAGAGTACCTCCACTGGCCTCAAAAAGACAGGGTAATAAAAGGCATAAATCAGTAGTAACTAATTATGTAAAATACAATGTATATTTGTAGGAACCACCATGTAAATGAAAGATTATATGAAACACAATATATATGAGTGATTATATGAAATGCAATGTAAATAAAATATTGTATAAAATACTATGTACACCACAATTTTAGGACTGAGAAAATTGTGTAACACTGGCCTAAAACCTCAAGGCTGAAGGTCAGACGGTCTGCAAACATCCTTAAGAAGGGATCTTCAAAAACAAATTGTATCCTTATTGTTTCTGACCTGAATTGTAACCTATCATTTTCTCTAATAAACCCCATAAACATGAGTATACAAAAAAATACCAAAAGTGCAATGTACTTTAATAAAACACAATATAAACAAAATATTGTATGCAAACCAATAAAAAAAGAGTTTACTTTCTTCATAAATGTCATAAAAAAGAAGAAAAAGACCGAATTGGATGTCAGAAGAGACTCTGAAAATTTCCCTAGAATAGACAGGCCCAAAAAATGAGAAGAAATGATGAAGTAAGTGAAAAGATTTTAAAGGGCAATTTGAAAAGACGAAGTATTACAACAAAATGTGCAAAGACTACAAGTTAAAAAATTCAAAGGAACACCTATTTTGTATAGTTTTTCGTAAGTTCTTTGTTTTTCAATGCAGCATAGTATTTCATTGTGACATTATGCTGAGTGCAATATCTCAGTCACAAAAGAACAAATACTGTATAGTGCCACTTGCAAAATGGGACTGATATCAGGGTCGGGGAAACCTAAGAAAAGAGGGGATAAATAATATATACTGCATTGAAACAGATGAGGGAGAGGACTGTTAAAAAGGAATATAGGATTATGTATTATTTTCATGACAAGATTACAGAAAAAAATTCATACTAAAGTGGACTGTAAACTGGGGAGGGATTGTATAACAAAGAAAGAAAAATGAACTGGTGGGGAGGGGTAGACAAGGAGGCAAATGTGCAACAGTGACTGGATGGGGGAAATTAAATGGAAAGTATAAAATCCTACAAAATTATGTATATATAGCATAGATGCAAAATCCTGAATAAAATCCTGGCCAATAGAATCCAATGATACATAAAAAAATAATAATTCACCATGACCAGGGGATTCATAACAGGTATGTAAGAATGGTTCAACATAAGAAAAACAATCAATATAATTCGTCACATAAACAAAGCAAAGAACAAGAACCACATGAGACTATCAATTGAAGCAGAAAAAGCCTTTGACAAAATCCAACATTCTTTCCTGATTAAAACACTCAACAACATAGGATTAGAGGGGAATTTCTTCAACATAGTAAAAAGCATATACACAAACCCAAGAGTCAACATTGTTCTCAATGGAGAGCATTAAAAGCATTCCCCTTGAGAACAGGAAGTAGGCAAGGATGCCCACTCCTATTCAATATTGTATTGGAAGTCTTAGTGATAGCAATAAGGCAAGAGAAGGAAGTAAAAGGTATCCAAATTGGCAAAGAGGGGGTAAAATTGTCTCTCTATGCAGATGATATGATAGTTTAATTAGAAAACTCCTAAAGAGTCAGTAACAAAACCACTGGACATAGTTGACAAATTCAGCAAAGTGGCAGGATACAAGATCAACATACAAAAATCAATTGGATTTCTCTACAGTGACCAAGAGAATACAGAACTGGAACTGAGAAAAACAATATCCTTTACAATCGCTAATTACAAGATTAAATACTTGAGAGTAAACCTAACCAGAAGCACAAAGAATCTATGCAAAGAAAATTACAAAACATTATTACAAGAAACAAAAAGACACCTGGAGAGGTGGAAGTATATCCCTTGCTAAAGGATAGGAAGACTCAATATTGTGAAAATTACAATACTACCAAAGGCAGTGTACACATTCAATGCAATCCCAAAACAAATACCAATCCCATTCTTCAATGAAATGGAAAAGGCAATCTCCAATTTCATTTGGAATGGAAAGAGGCCCAGAATAAGCAAAGCACTCCTTAAAAAGGGAAATAAAGTATGAGGCATCTCACATCCTGATTTCAAATCCTACTACATTGTTGTGGTGGTCAAGACAGTGTGGTACTAGTACAATGACAGACACATAAATCAATGCAATAGAATTGAGAATCCAGAAGTCAGGCCATTTACATTTGGTCAACTGATTTTTGACAAGGAGATGAAATCAGATAAGTGGGGAAAGACAGCCTTTGTATCAAATGGTGCTGGCAAAATTGGAAAACTATCTGCAGAAAACTCAAGCAAGAGCCACACCTCACTCCATACACAAAAACCAAATCAAAGTGGATTATGTACCTAGGACTAAAACCAAGGACTACAAAAATCGTTAAAGAAAAGCTTGGAAGAACTCTAGAAGTCCTTATCCACAACATAAACAGTCTTCCAAGCAACCTGGAAAATCTACAACCAGGAGAGGATAAAATGGAACCTTCTAAGAATCAAATCCCTATGCACACCCAAAACCCAAAAAGAAAGCCACAGACTGGGAAAAAAAATATTTGGTAATGACATGTTAGACAAGGGACTTATATCTAGAATTTGTAAAATACTCAAGCACCACAACAAGATGAAGGTAATGAACCCAATTGAGAAGTGGGCACGAGATATGAACAGACACTTCACTAGGGAGGACAAACTAGGGTGAACAAACACATGAAGAGGTGTTCAGAGTCCCTATCTCTAAGAGAGATGCAAATCCAGGCAACTGTGAGATATCATCTCACCCCAGTGAGAGTAGCAAAATTTAACAGAACAGTAAACAACAAATGCTGGCATGGTTGTGGAGAAACTGGAGCCCTTATTCACTGTTGGTAGGAGTGTAAAATGGTGCAACCACTATGGAAGGTTGTATGGCACTTTCTCATAAAGACGCAAATAGAAATGACATTTGACCCAGCAATTCTACTACTAGGGATTTACCCTAATGAGACCATAACCACCACCTAATCAGATATATGCACAACCATGTTTATTTCTGCTTTGTTCACAATGACAGGGAGCTAGAGACAACCCAAGTGCCCATAAGCAGGCAAATGGATGGAGTGGCTCTGGTATGTTCACATGATGGAATAATGTGCAGCATTGAAAAACAAGGAACTCATGAAATATTGTCCAAAGTGGAGGACATTATGCTGAGTAGAATATCTTGGTCACAGAAGGACAAATATCACATAGGATCACTGTTGTAAAACGGGACTGACATCCGGGGTTGAGGGAAGACAGAAAAAGAGGGGATGAGTAACGTAACTGCATTGAAACAGATAAGGGAGAGAACTGTTTAGAAACAATATATGATTGAGTATTGTTGTCATTACAGAAGTCCAGAATGAAGGCTGCACAGTGGAGTGGACTTGGGAGGGATTACATAACAATGAATGCGTTTTCCCTTTACTTTTCAAAGAGAAGAGTGAATTCGGGGGCAGGGGGTGGGCAGG